ATAAAATAAAATGTAAAAATGTTCAATGTTTTTAATTTAAGTGTTAGTAAATAAAGCAAAGAAATATTTTCTGATATTCGGAATCTATTATATGATTACGTTTCTGAAAATCTTCTAAAGATTTGATATATTTAGACAACATGCTTATTTCTTTCGATCCGGATTATCAGTGTCGGCCCCACACTGATAATATTACTATAACTAATACTATTTATGCAAGAACAAGACATAGAATCCAGGGGAAAGAGGAGATACTACAATACGTCAAGTATTGTACATTGAAAATAATAAATAATATCGATAATAATAACGGATTTTCAATAAGATTATTCAGAAAAAAAAACAATCAGTGTATGTCTCAGAATAGGAAAAAACATTCTTTTCTGTTTCGACAGGAAGTTGTACAACAGCTATGCACAATATGCATAGCTGTGCAGCAACTATGCACAATTCACTAAAATTGACCCAAAGACATTTTCCAAGTCTTGTTCCACCAACTGCTGCTCAATCACGGACCTAACGATTGAAAAGGAAGCTCTTATTAAATCATAAAAATGATACAGTATTTTAAACAGAAAACAAAAGACAAGGTTGTATTGAATTTGCAAATTTTACTCACTGTTTTAAAACATAGTAAACAAAAAATTTTTGTCTGCGCATTATTTAAATATTTACCACGTACAGCTAATTAAGCGCAAGCGGAGACGATACAGATAAATGAACACTTCGCAACTAACTAAACATTAGAATACACTTTTATCACAGTATGAATATTTATTGAGTTTATGACTATTAACTAGACAACAATTTCTTATTTTCTTGTTTTTGTAGAGTTAAAACATAAAGTGAAAAAGAATTCATAAAATACTATTTTATTGCTTGTTAAAATCATGTTTTGCTGATTTTATGAAACCTCTTTTACGCATTTGAGCAGATGCCAAAAAATGGTGACGGGATGATACACTTTTAAGAAACCAGAATCATAGGTTAATAACAATTATATTGAACTTGTCCTAATACAGAATGTCTTCCATTATTGCCAGAACATTAAATGATACCTCTGTTAATTTAATTACGTTCTTATGATAATGATTCTTGTGTTTGATATGATATAGGTTTTATGACAAACCATATTGAATGAAAATTTTAGTAAATGAAAGTAATTTAAACATGTGTACTTCAACTCGATGTTATACAGGTGTCCCGTATCTTCCGGATCAGAGCATTGTACGGTTGAAGGATACATTATTCTGAAGCGAATTTTTTTTAAATTTTTCGAAATGTTTATAATAACCGCATGGGAACTGTTTAAAGTCGTCCAATAGCGATTTACGGAAAGAGAAATAACACGTGAGAAATGAATTTAGAACGGCGCGGCAGACTGGCAATAGGTGGTCGATTGCCTGGGTCTGATTTACGATTTCCTATTGGACTTCTGCACCGTTCTGCACCTTGACAAGAGACAGAAAGGGGCATCGATAAACATTATACCATAATGTATATTTAAAGTATTTAGCTACTAGATGTTCTCTACAATGCACAGAGCTAAATTTGGGATACATTGCGGTATTTAAAAGTGTCAGAAGTCCAGAAGAATCTCTCATAGCTGGAGTGTCGTACAGAATATTTTCGATGTACATCATGAAGTGCATTTTTTATATTTATACGAATCGTATCCTTTAGTGCAATAAGGTCCAACAGTTCTTCTTTCACAACAACATTATTTGTTACATAACGAACGAATACAGCTCTATGTTGTTTATGTTCAATATTCGTAGATTCGGCTAAGGCAAAACTCAGTTCTGAACAGTTCATCAACACTTTTTACAAGTCAGTTATGACATCGTCAGAAATAACAGAAATTGGCCATTCCTTAGCATGCTTAAGGTGGCTACACACGTAATTGCAAACTTGATAAGTATGCATGATCAATCTTTTTGTACAAGTCTGCTTTAGCGTTTGTAGGATAATTTTACACAAATGTTTTGCTTGTGCAATCCGCTTGATGATGAATTGAATTTTAATCATGCAAGCTTGCGCAAGCGAAACCGCACGTGTGTACCAAGCACACTGCTTGACGTGTGGCCAGATACGTAGGGATTTCTCCCTACGTGTAGGGATTTTACAGCCTAAAAATGGCGTAGGGAGGTTTTCTTTAATTTACGAAATATGTAGGCATATTTGCCAATAATAAGCTATAATATAGATACGTATATATTTCAAATGAATTGGTTATCAATAGTGAAGTCAGGTTGATTGGTTAATTGATATAATTTCTCCATAAACCCGACATTAGTTATTGTTGCTGGGAATTGCGTCTTCGGCATGCAAGAAAGTACAATTAACTCGCTTTCATCTTGGCATTTACATTCTGGACTACAAAAATGGATGGAAAGATATTAATTTGTATAGGGGGAGATACAGAAACATGTCCTATTCTTTACCGAACAGTTACGCAATTGACGGTCAATTGAAGTAAAGTGGTCATTAAGTCTTAAGCGAATTGAAATAAAATTGGACGTGTAAACATCCTTTTGGTGCGAATGCGCGACAAGTATTTCCAACCTCTATCTACTTTTATACAGGATGCTCCGTTACTAATGGGACACAGAGCAACAGTGAATTCCTTACATTAAATTATTACGATTTAAAAATTCCGGTTAAACATGAATTCTACAGGCGATCTAGAGGGTTACGGCAAAAAATTGCAACAAGGGCTTTAAAGTTATGTCACTTATTAATAAAGTGTCATATTAGGACAAAATACCTTTAAACATGTTTATGATAACATTCGCAAACGACGTGGACGTCGACAAAACATACAGGTGTGCCGCAACGATTGTACAATACTTCACCATCGTATTCTCTGATCGAAAATAGACAAAAAAGCCTAATAATAGGTCCGAAAATGGACCATTGTTGAGATATTCAAAGTTTTAGTTGCATAAGTTTAACCTATTGTTAACATCAATAATTCTATTTTTTTATGATTTTTTATGATGAACCCCTTCATGTGGAATTAGAAGCAGCGATTTTGAGAAGAATTGATGCAAATGCCTCAATAAGGATTAGAAGGATTTCTGCACAAGAAAACATCAAGAAAGAAACCGTTTACTGCATTTTAAGGGGCAGCTGCTTTATCCGTATCACTACAACACTGTTCAAGCATTAACAGAAAATGATGGCGAAAAACGAAAAATTTTTGTTTTTGGGCCATACGGGAATAGGTACTAAACGTCAACATACCCATACACATTATGTTTACGGATGAAGCAACATGTACTCAAAACGGAATTTTTAATATCCATAATGTGCACATTTTAAGTGATGAAAATCCCCATGCAATACTAGAAACTCCCCATCAATAGCGATTCAATGTTAAAGTATGGACCGGAGTTATGGGTCAATTTTTTCTTCCAATGAGATTGACAGCCGATGCTTCCATACATTTTTTACGAAATGAGCTTACAGAGGCATTTGGTAAATTACCTCTGCAAATGCTACAAGATTGCTATTTTATACACTATGGAGCACCAGAATTGTCATGCTCTTAATTGATATATGTAAACAACCATTTGTGTTAAATTGTTAATTGTCATGATTATCCGTAAATTTAATAATTTGATTAAAATTAATAATTTATACAAGTGAAATACTTAATTAACTTTCCACGTGTGCTGTCCACCGTTTTTTAGTTAACATACATTACGTTTAAACAAAGAGTTGTTCCTTTAAAGGTTTTATATTATTCTAACAGTGGTTGAAAAAAATTAGAGTGAGTGATAAAAATTTTCACTCACTCGTTTCTATGAAACTCAGCAGTGTGAATGCAAATAACAACTTCCAATAGTCGTATCCAATTTAGAAACTGACAATTTCGAAGGTAGGATTGAACAAAAGATAATACTTGATTAAAACATTCAACTGGCGATCTGATTATAGTGCCTAATAATATATTTGAAATGATATCCAATGTTTTTAATTTTATTCGATTAACATTACACACCACTGATCCAATGTAATAAATAATTTTTAGTATACTTGATTTCTCTTTCAAATACATATGTGTACATAACAGCATTTCTTTCGACTAACATAATTCCGCGTAAAACAAAAATGCGTCACACAATTATACGTTATATTTCATATCACGCAATTACTTTTTATCCCAACCTCACTCTGGCAACAATTACTGTTTAATTGCGTCATTTAATTGTGTGTAATTGTTTAAGATTTGTAATGATTTGAGAAAACTGTTCCTTTTATTCTCTAGGTTAACATAGAGGGCTTTAACCTAAGAAATTGTATAACAATTTAAATGAAATGTTATACAATTTCATTGGCTTTAACACTCCTAATGAAGACGCACTAACCTATTGTTAGAATAATTTAGTTGATAATTATGTTGATCAACGTTTATTTTATAATAAATATTTAGATCACTTTACTTGTTGACAATGTACATGTTGTAAGTATAGTGATATAAAGTTGTTTATGATTTTGTCATATACAAGATTCTGTTTTAAAATTGGCAAAAATTAAATTCCCGCAAAAACCATAAAGTCGTTTAATTAATCAAGAAAGTCCATCACCTATATCTGCGATTAGAAACCGTTATGGCTAATATGATGGTGAATATGGGACATGGTCAAACAGTAGAATTTCATCAAATGTAGTACATAACCCAGTAATATAATTCTTTAAAACAACAGCCTGAAATATATTTGTTCCTGTAGTATAGTCACGAATACTAGTAGAGAAAAAAAATATAATACAAGTAACTTAATTTTAGATTCTTCTCGAGTTAGCTTAATGTTTGGGTGTACTTTTTAATAAAAATTTTATGTTAGAATAGATTTTACAAAAATAAATATTTTTTAAAGAATGAAGTTGATATTCTTATTAGATTAAACAATCATTTTGGTTCATTTTATGATTAAATTTTTGATACTTCTTTTTTTATAATGAGACAAAATTTCAATAGCAAATAAAAACAATTATTCACGAAATATATATAATTATGTTTATTACTTTTAATAAGATTGTTTTAACTAATCCTAACATTTCTTTTTCTGATCGATACAAAGAAAAACGTTAAAACACCACAACCTGTAAGTACACTAAACAAAATAATGTAAGTTTTATTGACATCAATCCAGTGACTAAATCCTCGTAAAGCTTCACTTGGTGGAAGTTCTTCTTGTGGTGGAATCTCTTCTTCAGGTGGAAGTGTTACTTCGATGGGAAGTACATCAGGTGGTGCGGTGATTTCAATTGGAAGTACTCCAGGTCGATCTAATTCTTCCTCGTTTGGTGATTCAATAGATTCCACAGAATCATTGAATAACAACTCTTCCATATTCAATAAAATATTTGCTTCAGCATAAATTTCTGGTTCTTTACCTTCCGCGTAAATAGAAAAGTACAAGTTTGGAATTTCTTTCGTAATTAATCCGATTGGATCTTCGTTTCCGGAAAATTCCAATTCTATGATATCAGAAACTTTTAAATTGAAAAATTGTTCGTATTCTATAGAAATATCAAATCGAATATCTTCGAAATTGGTCACATTCACTAGTCTTATTTCATTTTCCATAAGAATTTTTCTATCTTTGGTTACACGACCACTATAAAAAGATTGTGTAAAATTTGGCGTCTCACTTCGCAATACCGTTACATGAATATAAGAAGTTGTTGATAAAGAATGTTCACCTGCATCCTAAAATTATTTTAAACATTTATTTTTTGAAAAATTTTAGTCAGATACAAACTTACTGTTGCTGTTATTGTAAATGTTTTATCAAAAGGAGCCAACATATTTTTTTTAAGTACCAAAGTAGCAACAAAGCGATGTAAATTTCCTGGATCTTGCACCCCTGCTACATCTTTAAATTCTAAATAATCATTACTTTCAATTGTAAAATTAATTAAATTGTTAGTGAAATCAACATCAACAGCGGCGATTTCTTGGAATTCATTCAAATCGAAGTCGTCACTATCGGGAATAACATCATAAAAAACAAATTCGTATGTTTCTTTTTCAAATATAGGTTCATGGTTATTGGTGTCTTTTAATTCTAAGATATATTCCTAAAAAAATAAATCAAAAAATATTAGTACCTTTCTAATATATTTATTAAAAAATAAATATAGGATTCTCAGAATTACTACTAATGATTCATAATTCTCTTTTCGGGAATTAGCTTTTACGTATGAAGCAAAGAAAAGAATCTCATCTTTTATTTTATAGATTTGGCGACAAGCAAGGCATCCTTGGTTAGAATGCCGTCATTCAAAAAGATGATTGTTTTATGCTTCAATTGGTATGACACCTTCTATAAAAGGCAAGCAGTACAAACGTGAGATAAATGAGTTGCAAAAAGGATGAGGGACAAGACGCAATAAAGATGCTTTTATTTTTTAAGTAGGTCCTAAGTAAAAGCAAAAATTCCTGAATGTTTCATAACATAAATGGGATGAAGTTCTCCATATTTCTCTAATATAATAAAATATGATGTAGGTAAAAGTAAAAACTTTTTGAGAAATACTAAAATGTTACAAACAAAAATTAAATTATTTAATCAAAATTTAATTTTTGTTTGTAAATTAAGTTAAAAGAGATTTAGATCTATTCCTGAACCCCACCTACTAACATAATATTTTTCCATTATATTGTATAATATTCTAAGTAAGTTCACCTTTTCAAATTCCGATTTCTCCTTACCGTTATTAATACGTTCCGGTTAACATTTGTTAATTTGTTTCTTGTTTCTTAAATTTAGGTACTGAAGATGAAATATTAGTTTCGAAACATGTCTGCTTGAATTGAATTAAACATTTTAGTATTTCTCAAAAAGTTTTTACTTTTACCTTCATCATGTTTCGTAACATCTATGTGGAAAAACATCAAACATTTTGGTTACGAAATAGATGATGATAACCAAAAATCCTCCAACGTCATATCATTCGAAGCCAAGAAATGCATAGGAGTACATGCAATGCGTATGTATTTGATAGATTGAAAGATAGAAACAGTTATCGTCTACCAGGCTAACCTGAATGGGAAAATTTTGAATAGACGCAGTACTATTTCAATGTCCAGTAGAATAGATAAAACACAAATTGCTAAGAACAAGATAACATGTGAATAGTAGATAACACGAAATAACATTACCAAGTCTAGTCTGAACTTTCAACCGAGTCGAACGTCAGTACATTCAGCTTTCACGGTGCGTTAAAAATACGTCGAAAAGGTTTTTTGTAATTAAGTTTTCTTCCATGCGTTTTCGTTGGTGATCAACATCAAATATTCTAGCCTTCGGACAACTTAACAACAAATAAAATGTCTAACAAACGAACGTCAGATCATTTATCACCGCCTGCGGATGATCTGAGCAAAAAGTTCAGGGATCCATATTCTATATTGAGTAAGAATAGTGATAAGGTTCTTGCTACTACCTTAAAAGATTCGGAACAACAAAATTTGATATATGTAGATAAAGAAAATGTTACACAGAAACAAGACAGAAAAAGCTAAAGTGCCTTCCATTTTCTTGGAAAATGCATTAAACTATTGGCAAGCTATTAATAGTCCATACAATAGACTATTGTCAGTTATCCTTCGAAAAGTGCCAATATTACTTTCTGAAGTCGAAATTAAATTAGAACTGGTCACTAAAGTAAAGAGACTATCTAACAGGAAAAAATATCCAATTGCTTTGTGCGCAGTGGATTTTACTACGAATGAATACTCCCCTGGACAAAGAAGGAGGTCTTTCAACATTCCTCAATGCTTCAATTGCCAAAGATACGGCGACACAAAGAATTATTACTCATTAACACCCAATTGTGTGAGATAGAAAATAGAAATAGCTCTCTCCAAATTGCGTAAACTACTGAATCCCACTCAGCTAACTATAGAAGTTATAAAGTCCATACAGAACTACAAAAAAACCTAATCTACAAAACCAGCTTCATTTTAATAGTCGACCAAAATTAAATCAACCTCGAAATCATAATATTACCTATGCCAATCTGCTTGAACATAATCACCATCAAACGTAAAATTACATCAAAAATAACTTCCGCCCAGAAATAATTACATCTATCATGGCAGCAATCACTAATTTCATCAAAAAAAATGTTATCTTCGGTAATTTCACAACTGAATTTTTGTTTACGGAGTGATTTATTCCTAGTATTGCCCATTTCTAGCTCACCTTTAAACAGAATTGAGAACGTCACTCTCTTAAATATTGATACGATATACTATTCGCTATTTATACGAATCGTGATTATAATTAAAGGTAAAATTAAACATAATCCTTGCGAATTAAATATTACCTCTCTGGATTTGCACCTATCGATAATCTACCGATAACCTAAATTTCATCCTAACAAATTACTAGTTAGTTTTCCCAAAGTGTTTCAAATATTTATTTAAAATTCATTAAAAACTGAAGTAACAAGAAAAAATGATATACTGCCACTCCAGGTTGCTTTCAAATTTCATCATGCACTCTTAAAAGACGTATTGAAGCAAAATAATATACAACAGTGGAATTTCTGAATTTTGTCCAGACTTTTAAAACTATAAACTATTGTCATCATTTCTCACTGTAACACTCTACTCGTACCTTGAAAATCGAATATTCTAAGTTAAAATAAATAACAAACTTTCAGGAATTAAAGTTATCAAAGAGTTCTGAAGATACTGTGGTGAAAGGAAAGCGAAACGAAGTGCATAGAAAATTATTCGCCAGGTACAAATGTTACAGTAGATGAACACTTGCAAGCATTTCTTGGCAAATGATTATTTAGAATGTACATCAAAAATAAACCGGGACGATACGGCATAAAAATTTGAGTTTGTGCAGATTCTGACACCAATAAATAGCCAAGTACATACTGGAATACTAAATGGGCGAAGAGAGACACATCAAAGTCAAAGAGTTGTTTTGGATATGGTTAGACCATAATATTTTGGTTGTTGGCGAGGAGAGACTACAGATAATTTGTTTAGATCTATTCCTTTCACTCACGAGCTTTTCAAGCAAAAACTTACCTTTACAGGAATATTGCATGGAAATAAACGTCAAAACGTCCAGAATTTTTCCGTTTATTTGGTTTTACTTTAATATCCATTATAGTCAAACAAATGGGTACTGTTGATATTGCGCATCAATTGACCTGAGGGTACAGTTCTGTTCGATCAACAAAAAGATAACGTATTAGAATTTTTATGGAAATGATCGATATGGCCGCTCTAAATGCATACATCATATATACAACAAAATATCCAAATCTAAGCAATGACAGAAGCTATCGCATATAATTTCTGTAAAAATTAACACAAAAACAGCAACTCCTAATGTATGTCACAGAAAATTAAACGGTACAAATTTGCACATGCCCGTAAAATTTGCAATCGAAAGGTTTTTGAAGATAACATAGAAGATATAAGATGCACAAGAATAGCTTCTACTTCCATCATCAAATGTTTGGCAAAATAATGCTACTAATTCTAGATACGTATTTTGCTCTAGAAAACATGATCGAAAGTCGAGCATATCCTGCCAAACATGCTGAAAAGCTATATGTAATCTTCACCAGAGAGAAATAAAAAAATAGTATTATCCTAGATGTGAACAATAACTAATTATTACCTACCTTTACTTTTTTTCTTAAAATGTAGCAAATAAGTTTTAGTTATTTTCGTTTTTAAATAAATAAAAATTTTAAAAATATGTTTTGTTTTATATATTTTGACTTAAAATGTTGTTGAAAAGTATACACAAAAGAATATGTAACAAGTGGAAGTCTATCATTGGCTCTGAACAGTTTGGTTTCCGAAAGGGGTTGAGTATGAGGGAAGCTTTGTTTAGTCTGCAAGTTCTCTCACAAAAATGTTATGACCAACAAAGAGATCTGCATATCTGCTTCGTCGATTTTGAAAATGCGTTCGACCGGGTGTGACATAGAAAGCTTTTTGGGTTCTTGGAGGAGATCGGGTTGGATGATATGAACAGAAGGCTTCTGCAAAACATATACTGGCAGGAATTTGCGAAAGTCCAACTCGGGAATAAAGTGTCTTCAAAGAACATTGACACCTGTAAGAGAGTAAGACAGGGATGCGTGCTGTCTCCCATACTATTTAATATTTACTCAGAATGTTTGTTTATTAAGGCACTTAAGGATTGCCACGACGGAATAAAGATGAATGGCGTTAATATAATATCGAACATCCGATATGCAGATGATACTGTATTGGTGGTCGATACGGATGTGGCATTACAAAATATAATAAACAGAGTAAATAGAACATGCAAGTAGTTCAATATGGCCATAAACATTATCCCGCAACTCAAACATACCCATGCCTGTGAGAGGGGACTGAGTGAGATTGAAGTCTCGACTCGAGACTTGATAATGACATTGAAGTAAGATCTAGAATGGAGCAAGCGAGGCAAAATTTCATTGCACTCAGGAAAGTACTCTGCGATGAACGATTGGTTAGATTGGACGATTAAAAGTGTTATGCATGGTCAACTCTGCTATACATAGTGGAAACTTGAACTCTGAAGACTATCAATATGAACCGTATTGAAGCATTTGAAATGTGGACGTACCGAAGAATTGTAAAGATCCCATGGGTGTCTCACACGAGTAACGAGGTAGTGCTAAGAAGGTTGAACAAGGATAGGGAGCTACTTCATATAGTAAAAACGAGGAAGAAATGAAAAATACTAATTGTTGCAACTTACAATTCAGGACAAGATAGAGAGGAAACGTGGACTTGGTAGAAGGAAACTATCATGGATGCGGATTATCAGGAATTGGACAGGTTGAAACTTTGAGGACCTTATCAGAGCTGCAGCGGATCGAGAGACCTTTGTGGGCGTAATCACTAACCTTCAATAGCGGAGATGTCACAAATAGAAGAAGATTTTGACTTAAAATACGGTTCATTAAGTCGTATAATAAAAATTACTTAACTAATATTTAATTATAGGATATTCTTGGATTCGTCTTTTTTGAAGTTGATTTGTGTTTAAAAAATTATAAACAAATTCTAACAATTTTTGTAATAAGTGGGGGAAGAGTTATTTATGACGCGAACTGTATATATATTCAGAATATATTATTAGGATTCTTGGAATGCTCTCAATGTTTTGTGATAACATTGCTATAATTACCCTATCGCAATTACTTCAATACAAAATGTCATTGATAATGTATTCAAGTGGGCGAATAACTGGGGATTTACAATCAATCCAGCTAAAATCAATTTGAAGTTGTTCAGGTTTGTGGGGAGAAACTTATACCTTGAAGAAAAATTTTGTTTTGAGATTTTCTTTTCTGAATAAACTTAGAACACAGTTACGTGGCAATTTAGTAGTAATTCTGAGATACTTGTAGATATGTTATTATTATTAACCAATTTGCTTTCTTGTCCAGCGCATACTGTAACTAAAGTCGCCGAAATAGGATTATCACTTAATTGATTTTCGATTTCTTGGAAATCCGGAGTTGTGGATATTATTATTTTGTTATCTTGTACAGTTGCTGCTAAATATGAAGAATTTTCAACGTGTGCACCTAAAATTAATAAACACAAAATTAATCACGTTACTTACATACGTTTAGTAATAACATGCATCAATTTACACTCAGCTTTTTATAATTATTATTCATATATTACTAATATCAATCAAATATTTTAGATTTGGTAATTTTATTAAGTTTTATAGTAGGTGTCACTATTATGCTCTTCCAACCAAACTGTGCAGTTCTACATAATCGCGACAAATATCTAAATTGGAATAGCCTCAAAGTTCTCACTTCATCTGCTCCACTTAATCATGGTCGTCTATTTTAAGAAATCCAAATTGAGGAGCAGTGTCAAGAACTGCTCACTTTATCAATCTGTTGCAATGATTTTTAGTGCATGATTGGGAAGGTAAGTGCAACTACAGCTATTACGAATTTTATATCAATACATGAGAAAAACACAATCATATACTTTTTGAGGGTAGTATAAAACCTATCCACTTCTCTACAATTAGCAGCATATAAAAGTTGCGTGAATCTTATAATGTGTTAGATCTTACCAAGAAACTTGCGCTACCAGGGAATTGTTGGCATATGAATCAAACAAATTAATTTCTAAAAACGATCGTTGGAGAGGAAAGAATATCTGTATGGGACTTATAGTATTCACCAATGCATCACTAGATTAATTAAAAACTCCGGATTCTTTGTCGATGTACTAATCTGTCCGATCAAATTTTTGTCAGGAAACCCTTCACTTGCATTACGGTGTAATTTCTCCAAAATCAATTGCCATGCATTCAAACAAAATGAGCACGACGTCTGTGTCCACTTCCTAACAAACTTAATAAATAAATTTCTCATGAGGGAGTTTTATAATTTAAAAGTGGTTCATGAGGAATCAACATTCGACTGTCTGTGTTGAAGTATCGGCGTGCGTATCTTATATTTTTCGTTTTAGCCCCAACAGGTACCTAATGCATACTCCTGGGAGGTTGCTGTTGTTATACTCGTTAATATCTAATACCGCTTCCTCACCGATGAAAATGTCTCGTCAATCCAACACTCGATCCCCATGTGGGGTAGCTCATAAGGCCAGCGTTGTTAAAAACTCTCGATTCGCGTCCATCCGAGCGAGAGTAGAAATCAGAGAGCGGTACCGTGCATAGAATCCAAGGCATTCAAAACTCTTTGCAGATGCATGATAAGGATAATTAAACGTGAATGATCGGTTATTGCGACTGACCATTTAATGTACCTTCTGAAGGATGTGAGACGAGTCAACGTGTTTTTCACCTGGGAACTCTACACCTGGAATCTGCTAATTAGTAATGCTTAGTAGTAATCTTGGCAGTAAGGTTTTGATGAAATTTCCATGTTATTCAGTATAAATAAGTACAAGATTTTAGTACCAAAGATTATAGCTAATACATATTTTTCTTCCCCGTAAAGAAAAGGTTTATCGAAAGATAAATAAGAAATACAGCATTGGTGAGGGAGAAAATAAAGTATACTATACACAAATTCACAAAGTATTTACACAATTTTATCCTGCTTTTTGAAATTGTGAGTCAGCACATGCAAATGTTATCTCCGGTTCTAGAATATCAAGAATTCAATCAAATTTGTTAGGGGACATTCTAAAGTATCGAAAAAATCTATACCAAAAAGTACAAAAAGTATCTCAACTATAGATGTCCCACGGAAGTAGGTGCAAAGGATAAGCTAAAAATGTGGACGCATGGTTCAAGAAGGCAGTATTGATTAACTATTAGAAAACTTGCTGGAGACTTTATTGTAAAATCCAGTACTAAGTGTAAGATTTGCTAACTATACTGAGAACAGACAAGTTATAGGACTAAGAAGGCGACTATGTTCAGATTAGTGATAGACTGTCATTTGACAATTAAGGAGGCGGGGATACCTAATGAGTTATATTCCAGTGGCTTAAAGAATACTGCCTGGGATGATCACCGGGTGGTTTGAAAAGCTCACTGTATCAGTCAGTTTCAAGCCCGGATACAAGTAAAAGGTTTATACGTAAAGTGAGCTTAATGCTTTTAAGGCAGAATAATCCGGAGATATAAAACGGCTATGATAAAGGGCCAACGAGAGGGAATTGGAAAACCACGTCTTGAATGGCATATTATGATCGATATGAGAAACCATAACATCAATATATATGCAATCTCCGAAATAAAGAAAAAGTGACGGAGGACATCGATATATGAGAATTATACCAAAGTCCTTTTTCCTTGTCACCCATGCTTCGCTGCCATACATCAGGGTTGGTATTGCCATTGTCATAACATTTTATTTGAGTATCCTTCCTGCTTTTATTGCTCAAAGTTTGTTTAATAGTTCCACATATTCTTGTGGATATTGTCAATTTGTGATATATGTGTTCATAGGTAGCGTCGCATCCTAGGTATTTGAAGTGGCTGATCTGTTCTAAGGGAGCGTTATCAATGTATATCTTAGTTCTTATTGATTTATTTGCTATGAATGCAATTGTTTTTGTTTTAAAGATTTCGTAGTTGTAATCTCTACTTATGCTATTGAGCAAGTATACGGGTTTTTGAAGGTTATATTCTGACGTACCAAAAATTATTGGATCGTCTGCGAAAACTAGTCTTTTCAAGACGTACACCAATGTGTACAGCGGAAAATCTAAGCAAGAAAAAGACCAATCCGAAGTCGAGATTCTGCTGTACAAAAAGAAATCTGCATATGATATGCTATGCTATGCTGACGACGCTGCGATAATCGCTAATGCAGAGAATAATCTGTAAATAATTTGTACACAGGTTCTATTAAGCGAAGGAAGTCCAGAACATGGCTATCTGTACTTCAAAAACAAAATGCATGGAGTAGTAAAAAAAAGTAATCCCGCGGACCCGAGAAGTCAGTCCAACAAAGCGACTGCAATTTCAGACTACCTACTGGTAAGTGCGAATATGTAAGACTAATAATAAAACTAAGAACGTGATAAGAGTAACATGATCCTGAGGACAACTTTAATAAAGACCAGATAAAACAGAAATAGGAACTTCGACATCAGAAACCAATGCGTTCAAGACATAGTGAGATGGGAAAAACAGCGCAAAGATTTTTGCACAATTATGTTCGTAGAATGCCAGATAACAGCCTGTCGGAAATTGTGGTCACAAATAACCAGCCCAGAACCAGACCACCCAGGAGATGGAGCTGGTAGTCAACCTCTGCTGGTAGTGGATATTTCAGAGGCAGACCTTATCAGGAACATTCGCATCAAATATGCTCTGTTTAATATACAAAACTCTCAAGTTTAAGGAAAAATTAAATTCTTCAAAGAAATGTGAACTAAAGATTTCTTATCCACTCTCAAAAATATGTACAATATCTACCACAAGAGACTTCATTGTATAACTTCCGAACGAGGAAATACTAAAAAACATAGTAATGAAGTCAAAAAAATAACATTCTGCACCCGTTTACAAATAGACATTAAAGGAAATATACATTATTGCATTATAGTGACAATTTAAAGAACATATTGGTTAATTCCGATTCTCAGTAAAACGCCTGCGGTTTCAATCACCTTGTATCTGTCCACAGATGTCTTCAACATTTTCAGAAGAAAGCGATCAGGTATTTATTAAAGATTCCAGGTTTGGAGAAAAAATCAACTTTCTCCTTGTTTCTTTATGTCAGTGTTTTTAAAATATGTACTCCATTTTCACCTTTTTGATTTGTTGAAGAGTTTTATCTATTTCCCATCTCTATATTTTAAGTTTATCGTTAATTTATACTTATTCTTTATCTCCCTTCACGGAACTGCTGGTTTTCAACTCGCCCAGCAGTAATTCAAAGTCGTATTGAGTAAAATATGAGATTTTTTTTAGATACCATAATGAACTTAGTAAAAAAAATAAATAGCTCCTGATATAACACAACTTGAAATATAGCGAAAAGTCACGTTTTCACATTCCTAATCTCGTAAAATTTACGTGATATAGCGATTCTTGGCACAAACTTTTCAAGATTAACAAATTCGCAAAGGTAGAAATAAACTTAATAAAATTCACAATCTATAAATCAAAAAACCTCTAAAATGAACACAAACAATAATTAATATGACTACTGAACATTTATAAACAGACCGTTTAATCAATAAACCGATAAGATATGTCAAAAAATCAATTAATAATAATGAAAAGTTATTTAAAATTTAAAAGATATATTTTAATTTCAAACGTTAAAAAAATTATTTACCTATCCCAAAAACACTTATCTTATCTGAAATAATAAATAACGATAATGTTAAAATTATTTTATAAACTAGAAAAAAAAACTAATTTTAAAACAAGAATTTAATGAAGAAAATGAAAATTTTAAGATTTGAAAGAGAGTTCTAAATGCGAGTAGTGAAAGAGATAAACCAATTCATTTCCAAAAATAAATAATCTTAATTATCTAATCTTACTCCTTGCGTTTGGTTCCTGCATAAATATATGTTTACTGAAAGATTATCTGAAAGACTTCACATTTTTCTGATAATACAAATTTTAAAATAAATTTTCGTGTATCAAGTATTCTACCATTATTTAGATCGAAATAAGATAATGTTGAAACCTTTGTAGACAACAAGACTAGGTTAAACAGAACACTTTTATATTTCATATAAACAAAAAAATGTATGTCATTGATACACTGCCTAACTGATTTACAAGAAGTAAGATTTTCCAATAAAAAAATCGTAAGTCATTTATCGTAATAAACTAAAATCTGTACTAGTTTCATTTTTAGGTTCCAAAGTGTAGTTTGTATTTATTTAAAAAAGCTGAAGGATTTTTTTGACAAAAACAACTTAATAAAAACAATAATAAAGCTTATATATATAATAAGCTAATCTTTTATCAAGATGGGATACTAAATATTATTACTCACTTTCTATATTTAACATTGGAAATGTTTCCACGATTCCGTCATGATTATCAAAAATTGACACCTGACTTTTATAAATCCAATTTAAATTATCAATTCCATCCACAGTACAAATACCTAAAACAATAACACCTTTTTAACTTTTATCTTAAAATTACCTTTTTATATTAACAAAATTCATTAAACAACATTTTCTTACTTTCAGCTTTAACACTGCCATTACACAAACTAGAAAAGTACACACAAATTAAAAGCACATACGGAATTTTTAGTATCATGTTTGTCACTTAAAACACTGCTCCGCGCATTACTAAAATATTTTACTTACTAACTAGACAAAAATTGTCAGTGAATGTAAGTATAAAGTAAAAAAGATTAATATCTACACCTGTAGATACCTATTTCTATCTTATCTTTTTTTTACTGCGATTATTGGAGGAACATAGGCGTTTTTACGCGAAATAAAACGAAATAAACGTTCGTGCAAAACGCGGTGACTTCGGGTATTGTCTCGAAATAGCGTGATATAATCGCTTTTTCTTATCGATAATCGTAAAATGCGAAATGATTCTGACGACGCGTTTTCTAAATGGAGGGCAAAAAATATTTATCGTTGTTTAGTTTATATTCTTACCCTAGTTATATTATTTATTATATATTTAATATAATCAAGATAAAAAGTAATATAATTAATCGGAACAGTTGTTCATATCAACGTTTGAAAAGTTATCTATCATAAATATTAATTTATATTCTTTATTATTTATATACTTATATAATTTATATTGTTACAGCTATATTTGCTATTAGCAATTTGATATTGTAGTTTTTTTTTATAGTTTTTGTACTTTGAGTGAGCAATAAATTTATTATTATTATTATTATTATAAATAAGCAACACTATTATGAGTAACACACACAGAACTTTCGAGAACCAAGAAAAAATAATCTTTCGGAAAATAACATACTAATAAGCAAATAAAATGTCACTTCGGGTATAATTTACTCTGTAGAATGTCAACCGTATTCACCCAACAAAAGAAATTTCTTACCAAATATACTAACGTTATGGATACGCTTTCTTAACGTTGGTGAACTCTCGTAACTCGTATGTTAAAATATACAAAGCGCCTCAAGGTTTTTGTTTTAATTTTTTATAAATAAATCTAATTGATTTAATATTAAAATGTTGGTATTATTAAAATGTTATTTTATTTGAATGTTAATTTTTTATAAACATTGAAAGTCCAAATCCGCGTCATTTAGGCCCACTTTTACCACCTCTAGATAAATTTAACCGATAGATAATTACCATGGTTACAGCGGTTTTAAGCGCTCTCATTGGCTAAGAGCACCAATTTATCTATCGGTTAAATTTATCAATAGGTGGTAAAAGTGGACCTTAGTCTCTCCAAAATATCGATTGCTACCTCGCTTAAAACTCTATTAGCGTCTCCATTGTCAGTTCCTCAGAATGATCCTCGATATGTGCACCTTCATCCAAGATTACCTATAGACTTGCCAATTGGTGTGAACTTCTCTGAAAGGAAGGAAGTGAAAGGAAGATCACTACACCTTCATTTTCGACCCTTTCAAAATTTTTTGAGATACATCAAACCACAGTTTCTTCCACTCAGAGACACTGCCAAACATATCGTGACACTTTGCCAAGATCATTCTCAGTCATACAACGATACCATAATGGTCACCAGGTTATTTTTCTGGTGATATTTCTTACCATAGGACCAAATAATAACTCATTCATTTCACAAAAAAAGCATGATTACTCGATTTGCTTTTTACAAAACCTATACAGGCATACCTCGGTTTATGTACCCTCACTTTACGAACTTTCGCACTTACGTATTACGTACTTTTTTGTACCACTTAGTACGAACAATTTCCAATAGGTGACGCTATAATTGTACGAATTCGGGGAAGTCCCCTTAACGTTGTATTTAAAGATTATTATTTATGTGGATAAAAAATAAGACAAGTCGGCATATTCACTAAGTCAGATATTTATACAAAATAAAGCTTATTTAATGATGTAAAAGCCAAGAAAGGGAAAACAACAGAAGATTTCACATATTTTGTTGATAGTCACAGATTCAAAAGTTTAAGACGCGGTGAAATTTACATAACATCAAAGTGCAAGGAAAAGCAGCTGCTGTAGACACTGAAAGTGCAGCTAATTTCGTTGAAAACCTAGAAAAAAATTGTAAGAGAAGAAAGCTATACTCCCGATCAGATTTTTAACATTGATGAAACAGATTTGTTTTGGAAGAAAATGCCTACAAGAACATTTATAACTAAAGAAAAAAAGTTTATGCCAGGTTCCAAAAGACAGAATAACACTTCTATTTTGCAGCAACGCCTCAGGCACTATGAAATTGACCAGAGCGAAAACTCTAGAGCCCTGAAAAACTATGACAACTTCTTGTTCACTGGAGATCTAACAAGAAAGCATGGATAATTGCAGTTATTTTTCAAGACTGGTGTAAAAGCTGTTTTGTACCTGGGTATTACAGGAAGAATAAGATTCTGCTTTCAAATTTTACTATTGATAAACAATGCCCCTGGTCACCCTCAAGCATTAAATGAACTGTACTCTGACATTAGTTTGGATTTTTTACCAGCAAATACCACTTCTATACTTCAACCTATGGATGAGTGTGTAGACCACCTTCAAATTACATTTGTTAAAACGATCTTTTAGTCAATGTATAGCGGCAAAAGATAATGAAGCGGGCAGAGACCACGAGATCTTAGGAACTTTTTGGAAGAGTTTCCACATTTTAGATTGTACTGAAATAATGCCAGATACTTGGAAAAATGACAATGAAAACGTCTGTGACTCTACAACCATAATAATAGGTAACTATGTAGAAATGGCAAAAGAGCTAGATCTGGAAGTAGAATCAGAAGATGTAAATGAACTCCTTGATTCGCATGATAGACCTCTGACTAACAAAAATTTGCTAAACCTTACACAACACATTACCACAAGAAAAAAATCAACAGTGTAAGTAATAATATAACACTACATGTGTTTAAGCACCTTGACAAAGCAATGATAACTTTGAAAGAACTTCAAAAGTTAATGAAAACCAATCGTATGCTTATGCTGGTTATAAAAAAATCTACAAAGAAAATTTAAAGAACTCCGGCTATTTCCACGCAAAATCTATACTATTAACGTCCTCTTGAAGTCGAATCTACATCAACACCAAAAAAACGTCGAATGTTAGATTAGAGTTAAAATTTATTTTTATTATGCATATTTTTGATTATATTTCTAAAATAAAAGTTTATTTTGTGTTACAACCTTTAGTTCTTGTTTTAAAGTTAGTACCCACATATACGGATACATGCACTAATAATTCAAAATATTAAATTGAGGTATTCCTGTCCTTTTCTTTCAAAATTTTATGTGACTTAAAGGTTCAAGAGCATTTTTTGTGTAAAAGCGAGCTAGGGATTAATCTTGCATTACTCATCGTTCATCGGTTTGTGCCTTGGTATCGTCTTCTCCTCTACTTATGTACATGATGAGTTGATATTCACTCCTCAAGACTTCGCTATATTCTCAACAAACTAATGATTAATAAACTTGTGAGTTGAACATGATGACATTATGGATTTTATTAATTTATCAATTTAAAGTCCCAGTTTGTAATTGCAAATTGCAAATTTTACATCCATATGTTTTTGTGATTATAAAAATAACATACTACATATTAATTGTGTATATTTATTTAAACTGCAAGTTTATCAGAAAACGGCTTTACATGTGTTCAAATTAAATATCCCTAGAAGTTAATACAGATCTACGATTTTAATGTAATAGTAATAAACGAAACTTCACGTTTTCGCGTTACCGTGTTTACGCGCAGACATAATGCTAAAAATAGTTTAAATGGATACCTCAAAACGTACAGATCCATGATATCTCTAAATTTCTAAATAGAATATTTGCATGATTACAATTATATCCTTTATATGTACTTCGTATAAGCAGAAAACTAAATATGATACTTTTCGCTCAGAGCATATGTAGAAAAGGCAAGAAAATACCATATTTCTTATCAGTAATTAACTCGATAAATCACCAGTATGATCATTATTAACTTTAGTAGATTTCTGTTATTTACCCAATCTGATTCATCATACAGATTAGGCATAAAGTTTAAAGAACAACATTTTGGAGCCAATAAGCTCATTTTGTGACTTCTTCGGCAATGTTATCGAATGAGATACTAAGTATAAAGAACAACACCAAATCTGGATATTAGGAGACCAAAGCTTGGGTAGGAAGAAAGGAAGATGACGCTGATTTGTGAAGACATGGAGAACAAAGAAACCAATGAAGAACATGACGAAATAGAACGGGAAAGATAATCCAGAAAGCCTAAGACATGAATAGATACAATTTCTGTAAAAATTAAAACTAGCGACGACACCTACAAGAATAAAAAACCAGGACAGAAAGACAACTAGTACCCAGAGTAGTGGCTAAAAGAAATAAAGCAACTTATAGATGACAAAACAAATAGATAACATATCAAAAATCGCTTCTCACAAACGATTCCCTCGACCGAGGGATATATGCTAGAAGAAACAGATGAGTAAAAAATATGGTGACAAGAACAAAAATGAGATGTGGGAGATCGCAATCATGAAATATAATTAAACATCTTAGGAATAAAAGAAAAGAATCTGGAAGTATCAGTCTATCCAACGAAGAAGAATAGCAAGAACATTGTAGACAATTGCTTACAAAAGACTGGCTAGAATTCAAAGTACGAATAAACGAGACATTGATTGTATAACAAACAGCCAAGTAAAGTAACCGCTAAAGAAATTAATAACGGTAAAGTTTCGGGGTCTGGAAACGTATCCGTTGAACAATTTTAAATTAGAAATAGAACAAACACTAGTACTATTACTAGAATAAATACTAGAACTAGAAACTTTCGGGTTTCGCCGTGCGTCTTTTGAAAAAGCGTTTGACGTTTCAGATGCCGTGTTACAAAATTCCAAACAAGTACGAAGTGGTCATTTTTGCATGTTTTCAGAAACTTTTATGAAATATAGAAACTACACTGCTGATCCATTGTGGTCTCCCTCTTTTCCTTCTCTGCTTCGGCACATAGTTTAGTGTTTTCTTGTGCCATCTATATCTTGCCTCATTCGCACGACACGTCCATATCATATCAGTTGTCTGGTTTCTTTTCTCTCAGCTCTTGTGTAGACTCTATTTGTGCATCTTTTAATCTCTTTATTAGTGATATGCTATATTTATGCACGAAATTTTGTTCACTCTTCCTAGGAAATTCATTTTGCCTGTTTCGATCCTTTTCTTGTTTTTGTTCGATAACTGCCAACACGTCCAGTATAAATCTAGGCTTCACAATTGTCCTATAGATTGTCATTTTTGTTTTAAGAATAGTTTTAATCGATCATAGCAAAGAATTTAGTATA